CTGTGCCCCCCCCCCAGCTCCCCGGGCTGTGCCCCCCTCGCCTTTGTCAGTTTGCCAAATTCAAATGTAATTCTTCGATCAAGAAGCGTTACACCGTGCTGTGAAAGCACCGTGCTGGCAAATCGCGTGACAAAGTTCGCTTCTGTTTTGGGATACACGCTTGCTTGCTCTAAACACTTTTTGTCTATACTGGTTCTCAGCAGTGCTTAATATATAATAGCCAAGTAGCACCCTGTTTGCAAGTAAGCAAGTCTGTATGATCAAGCATGTTTGAATCAGTTTCAGAAGTCTAAATGTTCAGAAATGTGTTCAGTTGTACTCTGGTGTCCCTGGTTGTGCAAGGTGATCTGAAATCTTCACTGCCTTGGAGCAGTCAGCTCCAAGCATCCTGTGCATCCTCATGGGTGAAGGAATGGGATGTTCTCCAAGTGGTTTCAGAAAAGCTTGTAGAGACATGGATAAATATAAAGGTGTCTGTGGACAGGCAGCTTTACTACTGTTGTTTTTTTCTTAAGGACTAATCTTGTTTTCCTTGTAGAAAGCTTGAAATATTAATTTCAAGAAAAATTTGTTAGATCACTCCTATTTTTAGGTGGGTTGTGGGACTTTGCGTTCAAGATTCATGTGTTTTACACAGCAGCCATATAATGAGTGAGTTAATAAATATTATCTCTACCTTTTTTTAACTATGTAAAGCTAAAAAGATAAAGTTAAAATGTTAACAGATACTCTGCTCAGCCTGATTTGAAACTTCATCTTTTTGCTTGGCAAGGGACTAGCAGTTTGCCTGACAGTTGCCTTTTGGTCATCCTAGTCACAGCCTTTTAATGAAACTTCTGAAGTTTTCAAGTCACAAACTCAGTGCTATGTATGATGTGAGGCATTCCAAATTAATGCTCTTTTCTGGTCTGGCTAAGACCAAAAAATTTGGGAAACAATTGCCATCTCAACTAAGATGTTTGAGTTGCAGATGAAGGTATTTTCTGTATCTTTCTCTCTTCATTGATGGCCTTTTCATACACTTTGGTAGGAGGGAGAAAATGGCTGAACCTTTTTTTTTAGGTAGCATAACTAGTTTTCTGTGTCTAACTAGGTCTCTGAATTTCTCTTGTGAGAAGCCAGTGACACAAAATTAAAAGCATAGCAGTAATGTTGGCTACAGAACAAACTTTAGATGGGTTTACATACTTATGCAAATTACTCTTCTTAAATGTTGAAGAAATTCAGTCAAAGGGACTTCTGTGTAAGTAGCCTGTCACTGGTCTGCCTAGATTTTGCAGTAGTTTCCTGGCATGAGTTCATTGATGCACATGGGAATTCAACATGCACAGTACAGAAGTGCTTTCATAGAGCATGGACATGCTATTCTGCTATGCAGCAGTGGAGTTGGAGTTCATATGACAGTTTTTAACCTTGTAAAATACATTGTGCTTTATTTCTATGTATTAGGTTTATAGCAGGTTGGATGTAGTATGCTTTGGTTTTTCTTGTCCATAACATGTCCTTTGAAGGTATTAGTTACACCTCCTAGGGCTGAGTCAGTTTAATAATTATCTTAGCTGAGTTACCTAGTGAGGATTATGCCTCAGTAGTAAACAGATGTTTATCACCTGCTAGCAGAACTACTTTATAGATCAGCACTTCCCTCACTAGTGCTGAGTGTTTATGATAATGGCTGTCTGTAGGGTAAGCTGCTAGGTTGTGTGTGTAAAAATGAGTAACTGCTTTCATTGCAGTCCAGAGGTAAATTGCAGGAAAAGCTCCCTATGGTTTAACATTGATATTTAGTATTTACTCTCTGCTTCCAGAGAGTAAATTTATAAACTGTTATTTTGAAACTGATTTGCTTAGCAACTTGGCTTTCCTGTATGTCATCAAAAAAACGTATTTAGAAAGAATTGTTACATGTATTACAAGTTCTTCTTATAGTCACAGCCATTTCATTCTTGGTTAAGAATTTTATTTTGTTAAATTCCATACACTTTTAAATGCCAGAGTGCAGTAATGTGGAGGATGTTTGCTGTACTGTCTACTATGATAGTGATAAATTCATTTGTCTGGCTTCCTGAAAATGATGTTTACAGACGTATATATTTTTAGTCTGCAAAGATTCTGTACATTCTACACTGATACAGAAAAATGGTGAAACATGATTCTGTTTTAAAATAGTGGATGTTTTCTTCCAATTGTCCATAGGTCTCATTAGGTGGTGTTGATCTTACAGTGCGAGTCCTCACGACAGGTTACTGGCCTACTCAGTCAGCCACACCAAAGTGCAACATCCCTCCAGCTCCCAGGCATGCATTTGAAATATTTAGAAGGTATGTATTAAAACAGATTCTTAGGTAGAGGTTTTAAGAAGAAACTTTCTAAATGTAGCTTTACCATTAGAGTTAAAGACATGATATTGTACTGCTCTTCAGTTCACGTCACAATTGGAGAATGGAATAGTCACATTATGAGGCTTGATGTTTTGGGAGCTTTTAGTTAGACTCTTAATAAGAGTTAAGAGGAAAAAGAATGCAAGAGTTAAAGATTTCTTAGTGTCCTTAATGGCTATGGAAAGTCTTTTTAACTGCTTAAAGTGATTTCTTAGATACAAAATGTGAACTATGTGTTAAGTTTTCAATTCAATTATGTTACAGGTTTTATTTAGCCAAACACAGTGGGCGGCAGCTGACACTCCAGCATCACATGGGCTCTGCAGATCTCAATGCCACTTTCTATGGGCCTGTTAAAAAGGTAAAGAATCAAGACTATGAAAATACTGTATCTTTTTTTTAAATAAGCGAATGCACAATTGTAACAACTTCAGAATTTTATTAAATGCTATTCAATCGGTTGTGTAGACTGGTCTCCTAGATGGTTATGTATTAACTTCCATTTACCAAGGTAAACTGTTTCGCAGTGGGGAATAATCTAATAGTAATTTTGTTATTTTAAAATAGGAAGATGGCTCAGAGGTTGGCGTAGGAGGTGCCCAAGTAACGGGGTCAAATACACGGAAGCACATCTTGCAAGTCTCCACCTTCCAAATGACAATATTAATGCTTTTTAACAACAGAGAAAAATACACATTTGAGGTAAGCATTGTGTTTTTCTCATCTGATTTTAAATAACTGGTTTAGGCACTTGGTTGTTTTTTTTAATAGACCTTTGAAGATTAGGTGTTTCTTGTTCTATTTGAGTGGGGATCAGGCCAACAAATACAGGAAGCAAGTTACTAGCAATGCACCTGGGAAGCAGTCCTAGGGGAAGAAGTTATTTGGGGACAGAAGTTTTCTGAAATATTGAAGAGAGTTGATAACATTGGTTATTCCTAGGGCATAGAGCTATAGAAGAGCTGAAGCTGGAATGCAGCACGTGGCTCCATTTGCTCATTTTATCTTTGAGAAACTGGATTTGGAGGCCAAAGGGTGGAGGAGGGTTTGTATCCTTCTGAAACGCTGAAGTGTGAAATTGGCAGACTGGATTGAGCTGTAGGATGAATCAAAGAAGTTTCTTCCCTTTTCTGAGCTGATGAGCCAGAAAGGACAATGACAGTCCAGGTAGATTCTTAACTAAGTCATTGCTGATAAAGGTTCAAGTGGTCACCTGATAGATGATAGTGAAGCAGCCTTTGGGAGTTCAGGAGGATCCTGTGTTAGGAGGTTTGAGCATTGTGGTCTTAATGCCAGTTAGTAGTTTTGGTTTAGACATTATCTTCTGTTGGAGAGAGCATTTGCAGCCTTGAAGCAGCTTGAGATCTGCAGATCTCAACACAACTTTCTATGGGCCTGTTATAAGGTAAAGTGTCAAGAGTATGAAAATACTGTATCTTTGTTTTTTTTAAAGTAAGCAAACAAACATTTGTAACAACTTCAGATTATATAAAATAAAAGCTTGTCCATTGATAATGGAAGAACTTTGTTCTATTTTCAGTGCCCTATGGGTGCGGTTTGAAACAGTGGATTTCCAGGTTTTCTCATCTACTTTGTGCTATGTATAGTTGTCCTTTGCCTTTTTGTTTGGATTTTGTTTTCCACTTATTTGGTAGATTTCTAGCCTATTTAAAAAGAATCTTTCTTTGAAATGGTCTCAGTTTGCATGAAGGAAGGCAGAATTTGGTAAGGGGCTCTTAAATTACTCATAGTTGAGAAAAAGATTTTGTAGCACTGAAGGTCCTGAGTACTGCAAAATCTTTTGCAGGAGCGTTACAGCCTTGAGTACTTTCTCTGCAGAATACTTTAGGGGAGAAAAAAAACCCAGAAGGATATGACAGATTATTTTTTCTTTGATTTGGTGTTGAAATTGGGCCTCACCTATGTATGAATAAATAATATTTGTTAGAGCAGTGAAAAATACAATTTTTAATAGGTCTCTAACTACAAGTTCACAGGTGTACTGTTCAAAGAACTTTTAACAAGTTCTTTATAATTCTTTACAGATCTTAGTTCTCTGATCTCTGGGAGTTGTTACTGCTGCTTTTAGTCTGAAGGTCCTCAGTTTGACTTGTGTGCCATGAGCAGTAGGGATTTATGGGGACTGTGGAAGAGCTTGATACGAGTCTTGGAGCTGAAGGTGGGAGTGCTGGGAATGGGACAGCTCTTGTGGATGGTTAATGTCTGTGAAGTTTAGTTTTTCTCTTTGCTAGTTTGTTTGGTTTCTAAAGGTCCTTCAAGAGTCTTGAATGGGAACTTGAGATTGGAGATCGTCTGCAGCTTCCTCAAACTAGAAAAAGGAAGATAGAGATAAGGCTAAAATGAACTTCTAATGAACAGGAGCTCAGTAAACAGGTTTGAGGAAGCAGTAGTAGTAGTAGTTGCCCTGCTCTGGTGCATACTAAGACATCATTCTGCATCCTGTATAATTTGCTTACAAACTCCTGGTCACTCCAGTGACTTAACAAGCAGCTCTCAGCTGAGCTTTTACCAACACTGATAGAGGTGCAACATTCTTTTTCAAAGTTCATACGTTTGCTGTACTATAGTGAGGGTTTTTGTGTTTTACCTGGAAAACTCCTAGCCAAGGACATCAGGGCTGTATTAAATTATTTCAGGTCATTCAGGAAGGAGGTATAATTAATCTAGAGTATCTCTGTGTTACAGTGAAACTAGACCTTATTTGCTTCTATTTGTCAAGATCTTTTCAACAGTGCTGCTGAATGCAAAAGCATTTACACAGTTCTTTGTCAGGAATGCTTGGGAACATCATGGATGTTTTCCATCACTAACTTACAAGGTTTGGTTTCACCCTGTTCAGCAAACACTGGAGACAGTGAACACATTCTTTCAGCTTTCTCAGTGAAATTAAACAACTGGTTATTCATTCTATTTTCAGCTCATGGTGACTGTTTACTTGACAGTATTTACTGTCTATGCATTGACCCAGGTGGATCGTTTTGCATAGTACATATTGAGACTTTGCTGCTGGATTAATTCTAACCATTGAAATCTCACAGATGTCATAGTAGTATTATTTGGATGCTTGAAGGTGGACGTTTTAAGCAATCAGTGCTGTTGTTTGCAAAACATGATTGTTACTTTTGTCATGGCCATGAACTAACTAAGATATTTTTCTCTAGGAAATTCAGCAAGAAACTGATATCCCTGAAAGAGAACTGGTTAGAGCCCTACAGTCACTTGCTTGTGGCAAACCAACACAACGTGTTCTGACAAAAGAGCCTAAATCAAAAGAAATAGAAAATGGACATATATTCACAGTGAATGATCAGTTTACATCTAAATTACACAGAGTCAAGATTCAGACGGGTAAGTGAGATTTATATTTTGCTGTCTTGCAGTCTGGAAACTGCTGTAAAATGTCAAATTATGTCCAAACAAGTGAAAGGAAGAGTAATGTATTTTTTCTTGATGATTGGTTGCATCAAAATGAAAAATTAAATTCTTAGAAAAGGATGGAAGTCATTTAGTCCTTTCACGTGAGAAAAATTGTAATTGTCTCTTAAAAGGAAACGTTGAAAGAGAGATAAAGTTCAAATTAAATAGAAAAATGAATTTTGCTACTGATTGATTCAGAAATAGGAAAATTGCCTCATAAGTTGCTGTATTGATGTGAAATTTAGTGATGTTCTTAGCCCATGGTACAATGGCCATTTCTAAGTGCCAGGAAGCTAAATTTTTTTGAGGGCAATGATATGGGTCTGGCAAAGAAGAGAAGCTGTTCAGTACAGTACCCCACTTCATTAGCTCATCAAAGTGCTGGTTTGTGTTATGTATAAGTCATGTTGATATGTTTTGGCTAGAAAGCTTTCTGGAAATAATTTCTAAGTTGTGACATAGCTGTGGGTACACTTCATAGAGGATTTTGGAAGATTAATTCTTAGTGATGTACCAGGGTGTCAGGAGGACTTGGTTGTAGTGACACTTTAGTAACTGGGTAAGAAAACCTAGACATAAGGACAGAAGTGAAGCATAAACAGAAGGGGAGAATAGAATACAAAGAATGTAATTGAGTTGGAGAGGATAAAGCTGGAGTATTTCTTCTGACTGGTGAATTTTTAAAGTAATTAACTTGTAAAGTAAATTTTTAATCCTTTTTCTATTTTGATTGATTTTCTATTTTAAAGACAGAAATATTCAATGGAAGTGTGGAGCCTGGTGGTGCCTGTAATCAGATTTTAGTACTGTTCAAATTTTAAAATAGCAATAATTAAATAACAGATTGTTACCTTGTCAGTTGCTATCAAAATACACCAGAAAGTGTTAATATGTTCTTGTGGCTGCTTGTAAAAAAAAATCGTTAGAGAATGTCAAAACTCAGGAAAATATAACTTGATGTCTACATGAAATAAGTAGTGAAGCTAACACCAAATTAATTTTAATTTTGCTAATGTACTTTAAAAATCTTTCTTCCCTTTAAGTTGCTGCCAAACAAGGAGAATCTGATCCAGAAAGGAAAGAAACAAGGCAGAAAGTAGACGATGACAGAAAACATGAGATAGAAGCTGCTATAGTTCGAATAATGAAATCTAGGAAGAAGATGCAACACAATGTGCTAGTAGCAGAGGTATGTCTGTACACAGTTTAGATACTGACTTGGGAGTTCTTTTTCTTTTTCCTGTTAATTCATGAAAATTACACAGCTCTTACTAACATGATTCGGAAAGGCTTTTGAGGGATGCCTTTAATCCATCCTTTTTTTTTTTTCTCGTCTATCTGGAGACATTAAATCCTTACTGTTCAATTTAGGATGTTCTCATAGGTATATATGACTTTCCTTTTAGTGCTATCATGATGTTATCAAATTCCTTTAACTTTGGCAACAAAAACCACTGTACTTAACATCAATTATTTTCCGCTTTGATCTTGTTACTGGCTGTTGGGTCCTGGATTGAGAAGTTGGAGCTCTTAGCAGAGAGAGCGAGTCCTGCTGCTCTCTTAGCTCCTGAGTTCTGACAGCCTCAGGAGTAGCACACATATTCTGCTCTTTCCTCAGGGCTGTGAAATTCAGAGGATTCTCAGACCGTGGCTGTGCCTCTGTAGATGGTCAAATCGTACCCAAAACTGAGCAAGTGATGGGGGGAGAAAACTGTCAGAAGTTTGCAGGCTGCTTCTTATGCTTCATGACTGTAGCCAACCCTATCTAAATATCTTTTTTCTGATTATTTTGGTCAGTTAGGATACTTGGTGATCTTAGTTGCCCTGTGATCTTACATTACTGGTTTTGATCTTGTGTTTTAGGTAACTCAGCAGCTGAAGGCCAGATTCTTACCAAGTCCAGTTGTTATTAAAAAACGTATTGAAGGACTTATTGAGAGAGAATATTTGGCACGAACACCTGAGGATCGTAAAGTATACACTTATGTAGCATAAAATGCATTCAGAAAATTGGATTTATTCTTGGACTATATTCTTCGCATGAACTGGGAAGTTCTTTTAAATCGTGAATATTAAGACGACCATCTCTTCTATTAAATTGCAGTACATGTTCTAAACCATTCAGATCAAGCCTTTTACTCCTTTTGAGAGTTTTCAACATCAATTGATTGAGCTTCAGGCTTTCCAACGTTACCCCTGTAGAGATCATCCTCACAATTCTTCGGGAAAATGTGAATGTGCCGCGTTTGTTTTCAATACTGTATGAAAACAGAAAAATAAAAACAAATTTAGAAAATACAGCTCATTTAAAAAAAGAAATAAAATTGTTGGAATTTCATTTCCCCAGATCTTCAGTGTTGATGTAAATGTGTTTCTGTAGTGTTGCTTAGCACTTCGCATTGTATGAGTTGGGTTTAAAAGAAACCACAACTGGTAAGGCAAAACTCCCAGTTATATTGCTCTGCTTCAAATGTTACTTTAACTAGCCATGTTTAATTAAATATTTGGTAATTTTTTGAAGACCCAGGAAGACAACTTGAGCATGTTTCACTCTTCCAGCTGCACTCACTGTTCCAACAACATGAATCAGGAGCTTTTCGGGGCTCAGAAAAGACCATAATAATTTTGGCTTTCCCTTCTGTAATTTGAGTTCTTCTAAATTAAACTCTATATTGATTAGGTTTGTTCTGGTTTCTTTATAGGAAAAAGGAAAATATTTTAGTGTGTATAAACTGTATAATAATCTTTGCTGTTGTACTCACTGCTGATGGTGGATTGTACAGGGCGATGTTTTTATTTCACTAAATGTAGACAAAATAAATTTAAAATAAATGGATTTAGTGTACACAATTCAAGTGTGTTAGAGTACAGGGTTGACAATCTTGGAACTAAATACTGTCCCCTGGGGAATTGTACTGGGATTATAGTTTGTTAATGAACACAATAGATGGATCTGTAGCCCCAGGGCTTCCCATCATAAGTGCATATTTCAGGAGATTAAAGTGAAGCCAGCGTGTGCACAATTTGTTTTTAAAAATGCATTTTAAACATTAAATAAAAAAATGTTACTGTAATGAGATTTTTAGTTCTCACCCTAGAACTTTTTTTTTCTTGTCAGTATGCTGCAGAAATAGATCTAAAATTCCGGTTTAGTGGCATCATCATTCTCAGAAATGGTTAGAAGTGTGCATTGTACTGCAGAGTTTTTATTAAACAGTATTTCTGAGTTCCCAATGCTGATATTACAGGGCTATTTTTCTTTTTTTAATTCAAAACTATTTTTTTTTCTTGCTTCACATTGCTTTCATCCTTAGCCACTGAAAAACACAGTTGAGAGGGGCATCCTGGTATGTAGAGCTGGAGCTGAAACAAAAACTTACTTGTAGAGTATTAAGATACTATTAGGGCATTTCTTGATAAGCTGTATTGAACAAATATGTGGTGGTGGTTTAATGTAGTATCAGTACATACTGGTGTTGATACCTGTGACAGGACAACTTTATCCTTGGTGCTGCACTTGTACTTCTGCTGTGCATCAGCCAAAAGCTTTCTACCTGTGGTGGCTTTTGGAAGTGCTGAGCCTGAATGTTACATGAGTTTACGGGTGTTTTTTTACAAACTTATGTGGGCAAGAATGTTTGCTGAAAAAATAGCAGGTGGTGATGGCCTTCTTGAGTAACATGCTAATAGTATAGTTTCCATTTGAAATTTAATAGAATTTTAAAGATACTATTCAGGAAGGGACTTTTGCTGAAGTCACCTTGTGGTAAAGTGCCCTTTAGCACTGAACGATTATTAATTCATGATACTGAGGATTTAAAAACAGGATGTGAAAACTCTGCTCAGAACAGCACATCACTGTGATTTGCTTCAGGTGAGTTTGCTCATGCCTTTATGGCATTTTACACTGTGTCTGTTAGCAAGATTTCTTTTACAGCCCATAGAATTCTGCTGTGTTTTTCCTGATTTCATTTTTGCATGCTTTCTTAATTTCCACTTGAAACTTGTTTTGTTAAAATTTCATTGATAGGATTGTAGTTACATGCATGAGTGTGATTACTAGTAAATTGGGTTTCATTGCATTAATGTGCCATAACATATGAAGGTTAAGTTTAATTCTTTACAAATCTTATATTAGGTTTTGAGTTTTATTTGAAGATACATAGGCATGTACTTTCCTTGTAGACAAGTCTACTTTAAAGGGTTGAGAGTACACTTAATTTACCATCATAATAAAACCCTGTGTATCCCTGATTCAGTTCTTGATCGTTTCAATGTTTGCTACCTTCACAGCTTTGGTTTGCTGTCTTTGTCTCCTAGAATCAATCTGTTCAATTTCCCTGTTTGCTACAGGACAAATGGATGTGCAGCACTTCTGCAAAGCAGACTGAGGCTTGGATGCGAAATCACTCCTGAATGACATATCTCTCCTTTCCCCCTTTCCTCAAGAGCTTTCAATGCAATACTGTCCTTGTTACCTTTGCTCCCTCAGAATTGGCAGCTGCCATGAGGTTTAGTTTTCTAGACCTGTAAAAGCAGAAGCATTGCACTGAATATTCTTGATTAATGAAGTATTTTTATTCATGTATATTGTAATCAAACTGTGCAGTACCTGATAGGTTGTGCGTGTATACCTGGTAATAGAGCCTGTCATGGTGCATGGTTTGGGTGGTAAGCTTGTACAAAGATGGGGTTCCCATTTTGTCAAATGTAGCAAAAATCAGCTACTGTGGACTCCAGCTGTATGTAAATAATGGGACATAAGCCTTAGAACTCAGTCTAAAACTCCTGAACTCCTCTGGTGTTCGTTGTGACAGTTAGAGGCAAGGTGGGCTCTGATCATGAGCTCCCAGGTCCTTGGAGTCCCTGTGCACTAGAGCAAGGATTTGGCAGACCTGGGCTCACAGTGGTGTGTAGGGCTGGTAAGAAGCATTGTCTTGTGTTTAATTTGTTAATTTTGATGTCTTGGATAGTAGGTGAAATGACTGATGTGCTCTGTTTGAACATGTGCTAAATGGCTCCTTTTGTCTCCTTGGAACCTGTCACGTGAAAATTTATAAAATGCAGAACTTGATATATCCAACTGTGAAAGATGAATCCCAGAATGAGAGATTAATTCCTCTCACTTTGTCCGTCGGTGTGTATGTGAGTGTGCTCACCAACTGGATTGGATATTCTCAATGTTTCAGCTGGAGCCTCAGTTGTGATCATTGTATTGATCCTGGGTGTGGAGAGCCATGGGATTGCTTCTTGCTTTAGGGAGCTTATAATTGTATTTATATCTACTGTGAATTTCTTTATTTTCCCACTCTTTGAAACTCAGCCAGATTTTCAAGGCCAGCCCAGCTGTTTTAGGGAAGTACATACCCAAACAGTTCTGCAGTGCAATATTTCTGGCTCATTCCACACAGGCTGTGAGGTTCAAGCAGGTACGTATGAACTTTCAGTCTTCACATGACAAACCCAATATGACCTTTCTTTTCACACTTTTTGCCTGCAAAGAAAATCTTGAAAATGTGGTGTGACTAACTAACACAGTGATACCTGCCTGGATTTCCAGCCAGCCTGACAGAGTCTGCTAGGTCTCAGCAGTTGCTTATCCTAAAGCAAGAAAGCAAACTGCTGTTGTAGAGACAGGTCTGTTTCACCTCCTGCAGACCTGGAACTGGTGACCTGGATTAGCTGCAGATAAGCCAGGGAAATTGTTTGGAGAGATGATGGTCTGGGAGCCAGGGGGTTCTTCTTTGCCTGAGGAGAGCTGAGAGGAAAAGGGGATCCAGCAGTGGGTGCAACTTCTATTCACTGTTTATGAATAGCCTTTAGCAGCCCTCTTCTTGGGAGAGAAAATCACAGTGGGAAGTCCCGGAAGCCTGAAAGGGAAGCCACAGTACAGCCTGGTACTGCCTTTGAGTTCATGTGCTGCCTTGTCTCTGCAAAGTTTGCCAGAGCAAGCCCCCTGTCCCAGTAATGCTGGAGTTTCTTAGACCTTGTGAGCCACTTTGGTCAATACTGGTTGTTAATCAATGTTTGAATATTGCTGCTTTGGAAATTCTGTTGAAGATGAAGCCAATAATCTCCTGCAGCTTGTCTGTCACAGCATTTGCTATCAACTTAATTATGAAAATCTGCAATTCCAACATAATGTGGGACCCAGGCCAAGACTTTTTTTTGGGGAGGGGATTATTAGAATTTGGGGTGTATTCTATATCTCAGAAGGGTTGTCCTCGCGAAAGGGAGTAATTAGAAGCCCTCATGCTGTGTAGGTCTCTCTTGTTCCGTAAGCAGGAGCTCGACTCGTTGGCAAGTTCACTGCCTCCTGGTGACTTGCTCTTATTAACACTTGGTAGGGTGCAGTTTCTCTTGACAGCTCCTGGTGGCCTTCCAAGAATTTTGCCTTGAGTTGTCTTCAACAATGCTAAATGTGAGCTGATTAAATGAACACTTCACTGGGCCTTCCAAGTTTCAGCTTTGTTTAGATGTGCCTGTGGTGGGATGTCTGTAGCCAGGCAAGGAGATGCAGTGCCTTTTTATGACAAATTTATTACAAATAGGAAGTGAGAAAAGGCAAAGCATATTGCAGAGGTTTTTGGGATGTGCAGCATGTGCCTGTGGTTGCAAGCTGAGGCACGCTGGTGGCAGCACAGGGACCTGCCTGTGCCAGCCAGATCCCTGAGCCCTGTAGGAGTTTCTGCAAAAAAAAAAAAAAAGTGCATCTTTAGTTACACGTGCTTATTTGGATGGCTTTCTACTCTTCTCTCTGTTCAAACAGCTTCTGCTATTCATGCTTTCCTCGAGGTCCCTTGCATGTGACTGTAGCAGCCACCAGTGTGTCACTGGGGGGAGGGCAGCATATCTCACAGATGTCTGTAACCACAGGTGTGGGAAAGCTGACCCAGACCTCAGGTACACAGAGGTTCTTTGCTCTTCTCCTGACCCTTGTCTTGCCGCTGGATTTCTTGTCCCCATGGACTGCAGAAGAGGGGCTAGAGGGAGGACAGTGTTGCTGCAGGTTGGTGCCACCAGTGGGCCAGTCTTGCCTGATGTGGCTACAGACTGCATCCTCTCTCTCAAGGGTAAGGATGATCCTTGTTGCCTTTCCCTTTGCTCAAGCAGAACAGGAACTTGCTTGGAGTTGGCAGCCATGGTAACAGCCTGGTTCATATCACTGCAGTAACTCTGGTTTGATGTGAGCCTCCCAAGATCCTGTGGAAGTCTGTGTGTTTGGAAGCTTGGTCTAGGCTGTCCTTTTCCTGAGAGATCATTTAATTCCCAGTGGTAAAAGCTCAATTGCCTCTTAAGAATACAGCATTTTAATGTGGGCTTCAGCAGTGTCATGGTCTGTTGCCAGTAATCTCCCTTGTCTCTGTGTCTCAGTGCTGCTCTCCCAGCCTTGCATTTGCACCAAAGTCGTGTTGCTTGAGAAGAACTTACTTGCTTTACTTCTGTAAATACAGTCACTTAAGTGACAGGGAAAATGTGGTTTGATCCTGGTCATCCCTCTGATGGCGTGTCCGTGAGGATGCCTGTTCCCCCCACTGCTGCAGCTGAGTGTCGAGAGGAACCTCTGTCATTTTAGTTTGCATTTTATCTCCCCTGAGTCTTGAAACTCTACCTTGTCAGCACGTCTCCTAGCATAGTGTTTCTCACCGCAGGAGTCTCAAGTCGCTGGGTCCCGTCACTGGGAGGAGTTGCAGCCACAGACGCTGATGCTGCTGCCAGGTCTGAGCTGCTCCCGCAGCAGCCAAGGGCCAGCCCAGCCCTCCTGGGATCCTGGTAGCTCTGCGAGGTAAGGCAGACTGCAGCCTGCAGCAGCTTCCTTATCCCTCTCGTATTTATAACTGCATTTTAAAGTTTTTCTTCTCTTCTTTAAAGTCTTCCTTTTGTGTGTGTGTATGTGCTTGGATCCCAATTTGCTGTGTGCGGTGGAGCTCTGTATTTTCTGTTTCTGCTGACAGAACCTTGCTGGATTCCCACTCTTTGTTAGCTGGTTAAAAAGAAAAAACAAGAACCATTTGGGAGATAATTATACTTAAATGCAATAGGTTAGATGGTTTTCTGCTTTTTTTATCACTGGGGTTTCACTTGCCTCTGAAATGATGATGAATTGGAGTCACAAGGCTTGAAACAAGAGACAAACTGAAAAGCTTATTGTATTTCAGTAAGATCTTAATCCTTATTTTTATCTCAGTCCTATCTATGCTGCAGGTAGTTGTCATCTAGCAGGTTTTGTATGTTTGTCCTTGTCATAGGCAGAGCTTGAGATTGACGTGAAAAAAAGTCTTTTAAAAGTTAGTAATCCCAACACATTCCATGTATTTAATAAGCCCTGCTCCCAAGATGCTGAGGTAATTCTCACTCATTCTCTGAAGTTAATGATGTGCTGGTATACAAAACCTAACTCCTTATAAAGTAACTTCCTTACAGATTTAACTATGAACTTATTAAACCCTGTGATGCATCATCAGTCTGTCAGTGTCAGCTAGACCCAAGGGCTCCAAGCACCACAGTGAACTAGGCACATCTTAAGAATTCATTATGAAAAGGAATTTTTAATTATTTTCCTGTGGTTTTCCACCATAAGATTTTAAACATATAGTGGACTGAGTTCTCTCAGGTTCCACACTATCGAGTGTTTGTTAGTCGTTTATGTTTGGACTTTATTTTATGCAGGGCTTACTAGTGTAGATATTGGTAGTAGATACAAGTATTTGTTTGACCTGCCCTTACACAAAGCTGGACTACCCGAGCAGTCTGCTGTACCTTCTGCTGTGCCTTCTGCTGCGTGGCCAGTCACTACCACGTGGGCACAGGATTCTAATATGGGGGGTTTTTTTGAGTACCATATCAGAGTTTTGGGGGTGATTTCCCCTTCTTACCCTCATCAGAGTAACTTTTCACATAAAATTGAACAGCTATTTTTCTAATCTCTTAGAGAAATCTTTCTTGTCATGTTGAATAGGTCATTATGAATAATGTGCTTTTTCATTTGGCAGCCAGACAGGAAAGCTGGGGGCAGGGGAAGAAAGAGGAAGGCAAGGACTCATTATGTTGGGAACTGGAGAGAAACCAGCACTTTCCTTACCCAGCAAAAGCCTGAGCTTTGTTCTTTACTATGTGAAGTGAGCATCTTCACCATGATGCTGCTGCCCCCATGGGACTTCAAACAATGATGCAATTCCAGTGGGGATGGAGGCTGAGAGCTTCACCAGCCTGTAGTGATGGATGGGACTGCACCAGTAGAGCAGCATGAGCCAACGCTCCCTCCCTCTTCCCACCTGTGGAAAGGAGCCCTTTGCCGATGGTGAAGTGATAGGTCCTCTGCTCCGTGGGAGAAGGGGAAGTGATGGGCAGGTACTGGGACTGCTGTGCAGGAGCATCCCAAGGGGGTGACAACAAGGGAGGGGGTGGGCCTGCTGGTGGGAGGGCAGGGCAGGGTGGGTGCTGAGTGCTGTGATCAGAGGCCCACGCTCTGTGTCCTGAGAGGCATTGCAGCGTGGCCCAGGACACGCTGCCCAGCCCCTAGTGATCTGGCAAATCATACCTAGTGAGAGTGCTCAGTCACCTCTGAAACCCAAAAAGCTTTTGTTATCCTGTTGCCTTGTGGCAGGCTTAATGACACATGGGGAGAAGGCTTTCCTCACTTGCTTGGAAATGGGCATTGCTGGTGAACCCTTTGCTGCTTTTTGAGAGGGTACTGTAACCTATGGCTGCCCCTTAACCCTCCTGATGCCATTAGATCTATAACTTACAGATTTATAGCATATCCTGTCATGGTTCCATCTCGAGGCTGAAGGTTCTTGTCTACTTGCTCCTCTTACCAACAGGGCTTCTTTCATTACTTCTTCATTACTTTCTTCATTACTCCTTTCTCCTGCTTTCTTCCTGAGTCTCCACATCCATCTTCTTAAAGGGCAGCTGGAACAGCACATACTATTCCAGATACAGGTGCTCAGGGGATTTATAGGCTGCAGTACATTGTTTTCTGTTTCCCTCCCTATTCCTTCCCTAGGAATACCATTGGATTGAGCTGCTGCTGGCCACAAAGCTGCTGTTTCCACCCCACTGCCCACTCAGGGGGGAGGCAATCCTGGCCCTGGGAGTGTTGCTGGGCTGTCTGCTAGCCCACGGTTCCCTTCCACCAGGTTTATGTTCACTCCTGTTTACCTACTTTGACTCTTTCTGGTCTCTGCTCTTTGGCCTGACCCTGAGGAGGTGCCACAGGCTGGTGCCTGGGCCATGCTGGGCACTGTGGCTGTGCCAGGCAGCTCAGCAGTGCCCAGCCCCATGGCCATGTCTGCCACCGTTGCCTCCTTCCAGAACAGGGACCCTGACATGCCCCTCCTGCTTCCAGCTACAAACCCAGCCCTGAAGAACTTTCTTTGTTTCTGCTTTTTCTTTCACAGGCAAAATTCCCCTTTTCCTCCCATGCAGGAAGGCAGATGACTGCTTGCCCCTGCCTTGTAGCAATGGGTTGATGGATCATTTCCTTTTCCATGTTTTAGTAAAATTGTGTTGCTCAGAGCTCATCCAGAGCATTTTAATGGTTTGAGCACTTGCACTCTTTGCTCTCTTCCTGCCATTGTCTGAAGGCTGGATTTTTTTGTCTCCCTCCCAGTGGTGATTATTACTTGCTTGGAAGTATTGTGGGTGGGTTTGTCTCTATCAGTGCAAATGCATTTTTTTCCTAGTCAGCCTTTTTATTTTTATTGTACATTGGTTCCAGTGCAGTTTTAAATCATGAATGTGTGATTTCTACCAGTGAGACTGATCTTCTATCTAAAGGAGATGAAGGCACCACTATCCTGTACCTTTTTAGTCCCTGCAGATTTTTCTCAGTGGAAAACAAAATGAGGGTTGGAGTGGGAAAAAAAATTTAAAAAAAAAATCAGAGTTTTGAATAACAGACTGTTATTAATGCTGGAATTTGTGCACAGTGAGCTACTGCTTTGTGTGCTTGGCTGCTGGAGTGGGAACTGTCAGCAGAGAGAGGTGCCTTGCTCTTAATTAGATGGAGCTGGATACACTGTCAGAGGCTGCAGGTTTGATTTAAATACTGGCTGCAGTGGGGCCAGTTCTGAGCAGAAAATGGGGGCTGGTTTGGCTTGTATGTATTGCTCCTGGGTTGGCAAAATAAGGAGATGAAGGGACAGCGCTATTTATTGTTAAGACACTAGAAAAGGCCTGGAAAGAGTTGTATTTCAGCATTCCTCTTGTAGTCTGCACAATAAGCTGAATTAAGTACTCCTATGTAAACCTGAGGAGCAAGGAAAAAAACCAAAACAAAGTTTGCTTAAAGGTACTGATTACACTGGTATCTCAGCATTAAAAAAAATAAAAAAATAAAAAAGAGGAAAGAGGCAACCAGGGCATTGAAAAGGGGGAGCTTATATGGGCTGTGTTTATTAACCCAGGAGCTGGTTTCCAGCTGGGCAGTGAGCTACCTGTGTGGTGAAGTGTGCAAGAAGGAGTCAAGGTTATTCCCAGAGCTCCTCTTTCCTGGGGCTGATTCATATCTGCCCTTATTGTTATCTGTTGTGTTCACACGCTGCTTTTTTTCTTTTGTTAGTCTGTTTTCCTTCCTTTTTTTAAAGAGCAGCTTATCTGTATGCCCCAGAAGGGTGGGACTCAAAAGATCACAAGCCTTTCCCAGCCAGCTAAAGCCCGCCTGCTGACTAGAGGAAAATTTCCCGAGGTTTTGAAACTTGAGTGGCACATCAGAGGGTCCTGTTGCCATCACATGGAGATGGGCACTGGTGGGACTGGCTGGATCTGGAGTGTCGACCTCCACTGCTGACAGGCCAGTCTTGTACTTAGAACGTCATGTCATCTTGGAGAACTGCTGCTTCTGTGCTTCAATGCTCTTCATCTCTGCTGCCCTATGCAGGGAAGGACAGGAGCAGGAGGACACACAGGAGTTTCTGGGCACATTGGTTGCAGGTACACAGTGACCAGAGCTCAGGTCTTGGAGTCAGAGAATGAGCCTTCAGCTGAGTTCTGCTGTGATGTGAGTGGCCTGGGGCAGTCACAGAATAATGCCTTGTCACTCTTTACCTGCCTCCTCATGTACATGAACTGTGCATACCTGGGCATTTCTTCAGGTTACTTCAAACCTGTAGAAGATTGAACTAATTCTGTTGAAGTTTGAGTTATGAGTGTAGCCTCATCTTACTGAGGCTCCGGAAGTAGGAGAAGGAGAAGGAAGGCACCAATTTTTTTATTTTTCTTTTTATCAGGAACCTTTGCAATGGATGACAGAGCAGACTCCCTGATGACTGTGCATCTTCTCGCCAATTCAGGACACTCGTTACTTCTGCAGCAAACTCTGGATCGGCTTTTGGGGTGGATCTGCCCAGACATTCGCCTTTTCCTGGTGTCTGAGCGAGTTACTCCCTTGAAATACTATGAGAGATTCCGTAAGAGAAGCTGTGGCTTTCCCGGAATATCTGTTCTCCTTTTCCTGCACGAGGACTTGGGAGAAGAACGGATTTTCCAGGTCCATGAGCAATTCCAGCGTCCGCCCTGGCGCTACCAGTGTGCCCAGATTGCTAATGGGCAAAGCTACCCCTGTGGCCCAGCTCACCAGGACTTCTACAGCCTGGACGAGCAGATGCCAGTCTGGGGCATCAGGCGGGTTCACTGTGGCCCCGAAATCCTGCGTGTCACCATCTACTGCAGCTTTGAGAACTATGAGGATGCAGTGAGACTCTACGAGATGATCCTGCAGAAGGAAGCAACCCCACAGAAAAGCAGCTTCTGTGTCTTCGTGCTGCACGCAGCCCGGGGCGCCGCCGTGCAGCTCTGCCTGAAGCAGCTGCCCATCGGGGTGCCCGCCGAGCCCAAAGACTCTTCAGCCTTGCAGTTCAGAGTGCAAGAAATGGGGCAGCTGGTGCCTCTCCTGCCCAACCCATGCATTCCTATCAGTAGCACCAGGTGGCAAACACAAGACTACGACGGAAATACAATTCTGCTGCAGGTATGTGTCTGTGCTGTTCTGAAAATAGATTTTTTTAAATTTTATGTTACTTTTTCTCCAAGGAAAGAAGGACTGATTCAAAAGGGAAAATAAGATTTTGCTTTTTCATGTTTTCTTTAGAATTTGTGAATACAGTAATTGGTATCTGCCAGTGCTGTGATGCTGCAGATAAATATAAGCACAGTTACTTGGGATGTTTTGATATTGTTAAATGAACAACATTGTTGCTCACCTGAAATCGGAAAATATTAATGTGTTTTTGGAGCAGGCTGGTTTCACATCCTCCCTTCCCTGCCTGAATCTACTGATTGTAGCAGCCAATCCTTTTTCTGATAAATCATTATATTATAATATTTTTGAAAGCAAATTTTTAGCACCCAGCGCCAGATGTGTTGCAAGCTGATATATCACCTGCAATAGATTTTGTGAGCTCTTGAGGGAGTTGCTGTTGGGCAGAAGTGCTGAAGAAATGAGTCACAGGAAATCTCTGCCTTTTCTGCTCAAATGTGTAGCCCAAAGGTTGTATGAATGCAAATAAAACAGACAAAAAAGACTGTGCTGAGATGATACATAGTGGGAATTATACATGTGAGAAGGAGGGTTGAATAGCTCCATGTGCTTTCTTTCCATGGTAACAACCCCTCGCATCTCAGATTATTTTTTCTTATTTAGATATAGAAATAATTTGCCCATCTTGTGTTTGTTTTTTTTCTCTTCCTGAACTCATTTGTTACAAATCAAGTTAGTTATTCTGTACAGCATATTTTTATGCTACTCCTAACAGTCATCCTCAGGGCAGCTTTTGTGTACTTCTCATTCAGTGTCACTTCACACAACTGGTTTGTCACCCACTTGGACTGGACAAGGCCCTGAGCATCCTCATGTAGCTTTGAAATTGGTCCTGCTGGGAGCAGCTGACTGGGCCAGGTGACCTCCAGAGGTCACTTGCTCTCTGGTTCTTCCTGCTGTAGATGCAAGGTCTTTAAGCTGGCAGACATACATTTATTCACTGCAGGAAATTTGGAAAGCTTTTTTGGGGGTGTAGCTTTACTCCTTTCCATGTGTTTATCCAGTGTTCCCTTGAATCCATGTGAACGTTTTGTATCCATAACATACTTTGACAGGGCCTTCCCTGTGCCTACTTTCCTACTCCTTTCTTTGGTTTGAACTTCTCCAGCTTGCTCCATTTGGTGGGCTCTGCTGCTTGCATTACAAATGTCAGGGAGTGGACAATACCTGTTTGTTTATCCAGGTGCCTCATGAAGGTTTAGCATTTTATCCTCTACCTTCCAAACTGCGTTTTTTCCCCCCCAGGATTAAAGTACATGGTAATTCCTTTACTGTACATGCAACTGTCCTTGTACATTTCTGAGCATTTCCAGCTCTGTAATACTCTGTCCTGCAGGTGAGGGACAGGCACTGTGGTCCAGCTTTGGGACCAGAGCTGCACCCTGCATAACAGTGCTCTGCATTTTGTTTGGAATAACTAAGATTTCCTTTGCTCTCCAGACTGCTGTCAGACACTGCACTGATGCTAACACGGTGCTGTCACAGAAATGAGACCCTGGGTCTCAAAATCTGTGTTCTGTATGTGAAGCTGGGACTGTTCTTTTCCATGTGCACCACATTATCTACATTAACTTTCATCTACCATTGCTCAGGCTTGGCTCCTGTGCTGTTCTCTGGTGGGGCTCTGGCTGGCTCATGCTGCAGATCATTCCAGGCTGGGCAAGAGCACTGTCACCACAAGCTAGAACGATGTTAATGGCGCTCTCCAAATTTTCTTCAACAGGTTCAAGGCAGCTCCAAGCCCCATGAAACAAATGTTGGGCTTTCCCATCAGCATAATAATACAGGTGGTGACAAAAACCTTCAGGACTCGGTCCCCTTGCCTGTAAAGCGGGGTAATTCTGGTTGGAGAAGCCAGGAGGTTAGAGCTGTGAAGAGTAAAACAAAATCTGAGCCAAGTGAAGCCCTGACTGCTGAGCAAGCCGGCGGTGGCCTCTTCAGACACTTCTCCTCTCCTCCCAGTGGCCCAGCAGGCCGGTGGTGCTGGGATGCCCCCTCCCTCCGCAGGCAGGGCAGCACCCAGCTCCAGGCTTCCCTCCAGGAGAGCCGTGTCCGTCGGCAGGCACCGGAGACCAACGTGGACACAGGGCTGGTGGTGCCAAACCCCTCCAGCAGCCCCTGCCCCCTGCACCGCTTCTCCAGGGACCTGCGGAGCAGCCTCCTCCAGCCCCCTGTGCCCACGGACGGGCCCTCCCCAGACAGGACCCAGCTGCTGCTGGCTGCAGCCAGAAGGAGTAAGGGAGCAGGGCAGAGAGGTTCAGTCCTCCTCCCACCAATGCTGCAGGCCAGCCCCACAAACAGAGTGGAGGAGGAGGAGGAATTCTTTATATGACTGGAAACAGCCATGCCAAATGGACTCATCATTTCCAAACAACAGCACAGTGCTTCTGTGTGTGTCACAGCCACCGACGCTCACTTTCCATGGAGCAATGCTGAGGCTGAGGACAAAGCTGGGAAAACAGCAGCGTGTTTGCAGAAAGGTTTATTTTTTTTTAATGCAGACCAGATTGGAGGATTATTGTGCAATGAATAGGAGTAAGCCATATGACTTCTCAGATGTTAAAAGTAACAGCCAGTGGTGCATTCAGAAGGTGCACCTTGCCTGAGCTGCCCAAGTGGCAGGATGCCCAGCTGTGGGGACTCACTTGTCCCCATGGGATGTATTGGCAAAAGGCAGTGGCATGAGCACGGTGGCAAAGCCCATTTTCCTCTGTTTCTTCTCACTTCCCCTGTTGTTGGTATTTAAAAGCTATCCATGTGTCCAATGTTCTGCAAGATGTGAAGCACAAGAATGTTCTTTTTAAACATTTTTTGGAAAAAAAATTCTAAAGACACTTTTCCCCCAAATTAGCATAGTACACACAAAAAACCAAACACTTGTGGAGACTAGTTTGAGCTGCTCATGCTCCACTAAGACCTGCTGTTGCTTGTTTGTATGACACTTAAAATAAATCGAGCAACAGGCCAGGCTTTGTTAGACCAATGTGCTGTTATCAGCAGGCAATCCTAATTGGGTTTTAATTAGCAGAAGACAAAGGGAGTTAAGAGTCTTGAAGGGAAATGCTGAAGAGTAAAAAGGAAAGGAGAAATGAAGTAATGCTTCAGCAGCAGATGCTGAAAGAGCTCCCATCTTGATCAGCACCTTTCTTTTCTCAAGTAGGATAAAGCAAACGTCAAAACGAATGAGGTGGGAAGGACATGACAGATGGTTGAAATTATTAAAAGAAAAGCCAAATCCGGTCACACCTTACAAGCAGCAGGAAAAAAAGATATTTTCTCCTTGAATATATCTGAGCTCCACTTTACAGAGAAGTGTGACTGTGTTTGGAGAGTGCCTTCTCACTGCCTGCTCTTAGTTTGCAGCTCAGGTTTCAGAGGTGTTGGCTCCTCGTGGCCCGAGGAGAGGGCAGTGAGCAGTGGTGGGGCCTTCCTGGGGGGCTCTGCACTGTTCTACAGGTGTGTAGCACCAGTACCTGTGCTGCTGGACACAGACCACAGTTGGCAGTGCAGACCCTTCTAGACACTGGTGGGCAGTGTGGACCTTCCTGGTTGCTGCAGTGGGCTGTGCAGCCCTGGGTGGCTGGAGAGTGGTGGTGTTGCCTGGTGTTGGCTCAGGCTTCAGGGAGGCCCAGGTTTTAGGGAAGGTTCAAAGGTGCAGCTGAGTTAGTCTGAAGGTGGGAACAGGGCAGTCCCTGTTCTGTGCCCTTGCAGCTGGTGTTGCCCTGGGAATGATGCTCACACACCCTCCAATGCAGGGACCTGAATGTGCAGAAGGCTGAACAGGACCCCAGTTCCACTGGACTCTTGCAAACATGTTCTCATTAATTCTGTGAAGCTTTGGACTTCTTAATAAATCATACTATGATATCTTATGTCTATGAGGGTGATTATTTAATCTTACCTAGTATACTAAAAGCTTAGCCATTGCTTTTCAGAGCCGGATAAAATATTTGGTGAACTATGATAGTGGGGCAGAGTTATCAGGCAGGTTTGCTTGCTGGGTTTGCTGTGGCGTGTGTGAGAGGGGGCTGAGGGGCATCAGGAGGCACATGGGGCTACAGCTATGGCAGTGGGAATGGTTGGAATTGCCATGAACCCACAACAAAGACAGAAGTAGGACTCCTGGGACAAACAGATTTCATGGCTGCCTCTCTGCTCTTGTGCTGGTTACTGGTGTGACTGTTGAGCACACTCCCTTTTTGCCCAAGAGGGCAGAAGGGCAGTACCTGGCATGGGGAAAATGCTGCATCATTTAAAACAAGAGAAGATAAGAAATTATATGTGAGATTCACCTGCCTGCAACAGATCAGAAAAGATGAGCAATACAAGTAAAAGGAAAATTGCTCTGAAAATATACTTGTAGCAGTGAGTATATAAAGTCCATGTATTTTAAGTGCAGGATTGGGCAGCGGTCGCTCTGGAGTCACTTTCACCCAACCTGTGGAGGCACCTGCTGTTGTTTCAGACCCCGGCTGCAGGAATGATGTCTTTTATCTCCCTGAAGCCAGCAGGGTGGTATTTCTGCAGGGGGAGTGGGAGTGCTCCTCACTGCCTAGATACAGGCACAAAGGCAAGGGTGCTCCCCCGGCACTGGGCGCCCAGGCAACCTCAGCCCTGCCAGGAGGGGACAGGTCGGTGGTGATGCCACGGGTGATGTCACGGGCCTGGCAAGCTTGATTCCTTCGGGGAAGCAAAGCTGAATGCACTCTTCTTTCCTGGGTCCTGGGCCAAATCCAGCGTTTCTTGCTGAGCACCTTGGTGAATCCTGGGGTAGCCCTGGCATGCACAGCTTGCCAGCCGCTGGGTCCAGGCTGTGACTTTTCTTCTCCCAGCTCAGGCAGGATATTCCTCACGGCTGCTGGTGCATTGCTCTGTGCTGGGCCAGGAGGGACGCAGCTTCACAGCCCCTGGGTGGAGGAAAAGATGTGTGCTTGAGAAACGCCGTGTTTCTAACGGGGACACAGCAACTGTCCCTTAGGCCTGAGCAGAGGGCGGCAGCCCCAGGCCCTCGGCAGGCAGTTCCCTGGGGGGCTCGGCCGTCCAGTGCCCGGCTCTGCTCCCACGGGTGGCTGGGAAGGGTGCAGAGGTGCTGAGGGACGGGTCCCTCCCCTAATTCACACGTTGCTGTCCCAGGGATGTACATTTTCCTCTGTTGTATCTCTGCTGTGCTACACGAGTCTGGGCAGGAGCCCTGTCCCTCCACCCCTGGGCCTTTCAGAGCTTTCCAAGCCCCTTGTTTGGTTGGGTTTTGTGGTTATTTTTTGTTTGGGGTTTTTTTGTTTGTTTTGTTGGGTTGTTGGGTTTTTTTTGTTGTTTGTTTTGTTTTAGTTTGTGGGGGTTTTTTTGATGCTATTCTTTTGTTTGGGTTTTGTGGGGTTTTTTTACTAGTCTTCCTTTGTTCCCTGCAGCCCCAGCCGGCCGGGAACAGTTCCAGGGCCCCACATCCCCGGAGCTGCAGCCCCACCTGGTGCCCTCGCCCCGGTACCTCCTGCCGAGGGGTCCGCAGGCCCAGCAGTGATCCAGTGCATCTGAGCTCCTTACCGAGCTTCTTGTGAGCCTCTTCAGACCCTTTCCTCTCCCCATGCCTTCCAGTAATTGAGGCTTTTATTCTTCACGTTTATTAACATTAAATTAACCTGATACATAAGAAAACAATAGAGATACTGCTAACAAAGAAAGGCAATTTTTCTCTCATTCATTCATTCATTCATTCATTCATTCATTCATTCATTCATTCATTTTCTCTGCCAGCAGGCAGGTTAATTAAGGAGATCTGTCATGTAAGTGACAGGGTAAAACAGTCCCTCCTTGACATGTTTTGTTGTTTTGATGACAGTCTCTGACACTGATGCTCTGAAATCTCATGTGCAGTTGTTACTGTCTGTCTGCTGAGGGTACAGAAAAATTAAGATACGGTACTGACATGATAATTACAAGGATGTTTTGCTAAAAAATGCTATTGCAGGTCAACTTTCTAGCTGTAATAGCCAGAAAAAGTAAATTAGTTTCAAGTGGGGGTAACTTCCTTTCAAAGGTTTGCAGCCAAATACATGTTGGTGGAGGGAAATGTAATGAGGGAGAGCAAAATGCCTTTAGAAGACCTCCCTGGTACCTGCAGTATATTCCTCAGGGTTATAACTCATAGGCTCCACTTCTTCCAGAGGCTTCAGCAGCAATGGTGTCTGTCCCCTGTTTGGCTTCAGGTCCCCCCATCAGCTTTATTTCCAGGAAAAGCTGCATGTTTCCAGTGCTATATCTCAAGCTGAATACCACAAATCTGTTGTACCTCTTTGAAAAGAAGTGTCAGGTATTTCCCTGCCTCCAAGTCATATTGGTAGTCATACAGAATAACAAAATAAAACAGCTGTCACAATAAGTGATTTTTTTTCATTATCCCATTTAGAGGGTTTCATTAAGCACAGAGATGTCCTGATGCACCTGGTCAACCCAGAATTAAAAATTCAGTTCCGTATCTTTTACAGGAGAAACAGGGATGGCACCCAGGTTTGGGAATGTGTCTACAAGGAAGAGGCAGTGTGTTGGGTAGTGATCACTAGAAGTCTGTGGTTCTGGGGTGAGATACTTCCACTGAATTTCATAACATCCTCCTTCAGCAGCCTCATCCTGACACTGAAACTGCATTGCAGTTTGCTGTGCTGCTCTTATGTTTAATTCTCATAATTTGAGAGAGGTTTTGAGAGGTTTCCATCTCCCATGGAGCACTTGCATTAATATTCCAGTTCAGGTTCTCAGTTGGGCTGCTGATTACAGGCAAGGACAGATCCGATTGCTATTAGTGTGAATTAATATTCTTTAAGAGTCCCAGAAGCTTTCTTCTCCCCTGTCACCCTCCTTCAGGCACTGGCAGCCTGGCTATGCTGGGAGGTGATTAGGTTTGTAAATTTGTTCCTGCACACACTCAGTGACACTGCTAGTTTTCTTGTCTCATTTGTGCAGCTGAAATGGTGACAGCCTTGCTTCTTTAATTGGGATCATCTCAAGTTCCATCTCAGCATCAGAAGGAGCCTTGGATACAGGCCTGAGTAGGCACAGAGCAGGCAGGAGCCTCTGGGGCTTTTACCTGTCACAGCTGGTAAGAGACTGATCCTCACTTTCCAAAGCTCAAGATAGGATGAGCTGACAACTGACTGGAGGTGGCAGATGTCCCTTGTTCTGAAGTAACCCTCCTGTTGTCATAGCTGGGATTCGGTGTCTTGGTGTGGAGAAAGTCTCTCTTCCTCATCTTGCCTCAGGTTTGGCTCACTGCCACTTCTCCTATGGCATTTGAGCCCTTGTGCCACCAACTGCGATGTGTGGGTAGCTGGGATTGTT